TGGGGAGCATTTTTACCTTTCAGTTCAGCCATCTTTCACCAGTGTAGCATTGCCACAGCATGGAGTGTTGGTGCCTCTCACAGTGTGGGCTCTGCACAGGTGCAGACCTACTTTCATACTGGACCACTGATCCTGCTGGAAACATTTCACCTTTTAGGATAAAGAGGGGTTGGTAGAGCCAGAAGATTTCCTTAAGCATCTTTTGCTGGATGCAGGGGATACAGATGTCAGAGCCAGAGCTACATAAAGTGTAGTGACCCACAGCAGGGTCACTTTCCAAGGGAACATGGAACAGATGAGAGGATCCATTCCAAACTGCCATTGCTCCACCCTGGAACAAAGCTCTGCTATAGAGGTGGGGGGTCTGAAAACTGGGAGTAGCTGTCTGAGTAGAGCAGAAAGTCTCCAGGGGTACACCTTTAACCCTAGGACAGGTGCTGCTTCCTCAGAGGGAATGGCTCAGGCCAGACTTGGCTTTCTTACATTTCACTTTTCCGTTCTTGTGGAGTCCATAAAAGATTTCCTTGAAAGAAACACTCAGGGTACACAGCCCAGGTAAACACTTGCACTTGGAAGCAGAGGTTTGTGTTAGTTCTCACTTCTGTGCAGTGCTAAAGCATTTTATTTATACCTGTCTGGGCAGCCTGGGAATTTCTTCCCATCCAAGACTAGAGAAGGACAGGCTGGAATAGGCAGTGCCAGTGACGAGATGGGCCTGGAGCCCTTGTCGTGTGCTCTGTGTGTCACTTGTGTGCTGCTCCCAGTCCTGGCTCCTTCCTGTCCTTGCAGGTGCACAGCAGAGGAGTCTGTGCTGATGGTGAGATCCCATCCAAAACTCCTGCACAGATGCAGCTGCAGTAGCTTGGTCTGTCCTGTTCTGTCTGGAGTATTTAATGGAATCCCAGAACGGTTTGGGTTGGAAGAGACCTCAAAGCCCACCTCATTCCACTCCCCTGCCACGGAGAGGGACAGCTCCCACTATCCCAGGCTGCTCTAAGCCCCGTCCATCCTGGCCCTGGACACTTCCAGGGATCCAGGGACAGCCACAGCTTCTCTGGGCACCCTGTGCCAGGGCCTGCCCACCCTCCCAGGGAACAATTCCTTCCCAATATCCCATCCATCCCTGCCCTAATCCCTGTTCAGAGGGGCCTGAATGAAGTCTCCCCTCTCCAAATGCATCACCAGCTGCTCACCTGTGAAAGGGGCTGTTGCTTCTCCCTCAGTTCCCTGCCGTGTAGAGCCTGTGTGTCCCCCCAGCAGTGCTCCTTGTGATGCCACAGCACTCACAAAGTAGGTCAAACCATCTAAACCCTGGCTTGAAATCCCTTGAAGTAAATTCCTGCCCTGCCTGAATGTGTCCCAAGGGGGTTAGGACTCATGGCTTATGGGGAGTTAAGAAAGATGAGCAGCTTTGCTGTAGCTGAGTAAACAGCTCTGGGCAGCCCGGCTCCCTGCCCTGCCCTCCCGGCTCCCTGCCCTGCCCTCCCGGCTCCTTGCTCTGCCCTCCCGGCTCCCTTCCCTCCCGGCTCCCTGCCCTTCCCTCCCGGCTCCCTGCCCTGCCCTCCCGGCTCCTTGCTCTGCCCTCCCGGCTCCCTTCCCTCCCGGCTCCCTGCTCTGCCAGCCCATCTCCCTGCCCTGTCTGCCCAGCCTGGCCTCATCTCGCCCAGGGAAGTGTCCAGCCCATGCTTTCAGAGAATCGTTAAGGTTGGAAAAGACCTCCAAGATCAAGTCCAACCTTGAGCAAACACCGTGCGTGCAAAGCCGTATCGAGAAGTACCACATCCACTGATCTTTTGGCCCCTCCCAGGGATGGTGACTCCAGCACTGCCCTGCTGCTCTCACCAGGCGACTTTGGTGACACCAGTTCTAGAAGGGGTGAGAAGGGTGAGAACCTCGGGCTATCCTGGCTCACCTGAGCCTTGGTCAGTGTGTTACATGTTTCACCTGTGTCGCTTCTCTGGGTGCTGTCCCTAGATGTGTGGTAGGAATTTGGCCAGCACCTCTCTGACAAGGGCAGCAACAAAACACCTGGACAAGTAAGTCATTCCCTCACATCCCAAGCCCAGAGCTTTGGGAAACCTCAGTGAAAGTTACAGGAATGTTTGTCTGTGGCTATCAGCCTGTCCTTGATGCTGTGGAAAGGCCCAGATTATTTGTGTGTGTCAAGATCATTTTGAGTCTCTGCAGATGAAAATCTGTTCTTGTGGTGAATGCAGTGGTGACTCAGCACTAGGGGAGGAGGGAAGATGACCTTAGGAAAATCTTTTCATCCCAATGCTCTGGAGATGTCTAGGAAAGGAAAGACTGAGTGGGAAAAAATATTAGCCCTTGGCAGAAAGAGGCTTTAGAAGAAGCCCAGAGCTTAATGCCAGGGGAAGGCTGCAGGGTCTGGGGTCTGGGCACACAGCAGTCTGGGCCTCAGGCCTTGCTCCCAGTTCTTTCTGCAGGAATCAGCTGGAGCGTCAGGAGTTTCCTTCCTGCCCTTCCAGGGTCAGAGGTTGCAAGAGGAGAAGGACAACCCAGGACTCTGGCAGGTGTGGAAGTGACAATTCCAGCAGTAGAACAGAGGCAGCCCTGCAGCAGCTACAGTGGAAGCAGCCCCTCCCCTGCTACAGGTGAGCCCTCAAAGCCCTCTGTGGCTTTGTGTTAAACTTTGGAGGCCAAGGGCAGGGAGGGCATTCATGGGCATCCTCACTACAAGCTCTGTGTTGATGGAGCAAACAAGCCCTGAATGTGCTACCAGCTGCCTAGAGAAGCAAGCCTTGTCTCTGGGTGTGTGATTAAACCAGAACCTTGCTCCAGCAGTATCTGCTCACCCTCCTGTTGGCCCTCTCAGGCCTCTCCCTGCTGTGGTCTCACTTCCCAGGACCTGCTCACATCACCTTGGTGTGTTCCCCAGGTGATACCTGGGCAGCCACTGTCCCCCATGGTCTGTGCCTCAGCTCTGGTTTTGCTGTCCCAGTGGCTGCTGCTGCAGTCTGACAGCTACAGCCCTTTAGGCAGAAAATGTATCACCCCAGAGCTGTGGGGGCTTTCCACAGGACACCAAGCTCTCCTCAGGGTGTGCCCCACACCTTCCTTGCTCTTCTGATGTCTGATCCTTCAGGGAGCTGTTTTAGCTCACCAAGTTCTCCCTCCCCCCACGCCCCTGAGCTTTCTGCTGCTCCTGACTGAGAGTGGCAGGAGCAGGATTAGACTGGGATTCTCTGACCCTTCTGACAGCAGCTCAGCCAATGGATGAAGGCACATTTTTATCAGCACGTGTTTATGTGAACATTAATAATATAAAACTCCTACTAGATGAGGAACTCTGACAGAACTTTTTTTCCTATAATCTCATGTAGTCAAATACTCTCCTGTCCTTTTCCTTCCCCTCCAGCTTTGGTCTCTGTCCTCAGCACAGCCTCTTCGGAAGATGTGTTTCTTCCCACTGCCAGAGGGCAGGGATGGATGGGATATTGGGAAGGAATTGTTCCCTGGGAGGGTGGGCAGGCCCTGGCACAGGGTGCCCAGAGAAGCTGTGGCTGCCCCTGGATCCCTGGAAGTGTCCAAGGCCAGGCTGGACAGGGTTTGGAGCAGCCTGGGATAGTGGAAGGTGTCCCTGTCCGAGGCAGGGGAGTGGAATGAGATGGGCTTTAAGGGTTTTTTCCAACCTAAACCATTCTAGGATTTTATAAAGTGGCCTTACAGCTCTCTCTGGAGAGATAGCACACAACTGAGTGTGTGCAAGGTTTGTTTCCAAGTGATAAATATTTGTTTGTTCTGAGCTTTATCCCCTCATCCTGATATGCTTGGATGAAGACTGTCATGGATCCTCACTGTAAGAATTGGATTGAGTCCTGAAGGAATTGGGATCTTCTAGAGCATCTGTGCTAACTGTTCCCTCCTCTTTGGTGCTCAAAGGCCTATGGAGAATGCAGCACAGAGGGTGACAAGTGACACCCTCTGAGCATCCCAGTGACATGGGACCTCAGTGGCAAAGACCACTGTGTTGGGGCAAGCTTACCCTGCCACATCTCTAAGCCCAGACTTGTTCTGCTTCTGTCCTGGTCCCCACAGCAGGACTGTGGGTGGTGTTGGTCACTCCTTTTATCTGCCAGGGCTTGGCTGTGGCTGAGCTGCAGCTGGGAGCCCAGCCAGGGGAAGCAGCTGATTCTCCTTTAGAACAGAGACTTGCACATCAATAAATGTCTTGTTACAGATGCTTTCTTCAGCCTCTTGGTTCCCATTTCCTCTTTTAGCTTCCCCAGCTTTCTATCCCACTGGCTGGAGAGATGGCTGTCTCCTGTGAGAGCTAAGGAATGTTGGAACAAGGGCTGGGTGTAACTCTGTCCTTACAGGTGAGGTGATGGGCAAGCCATGTCTTTTCCTCAACCTGTCCTGACTTTCCATACTCTCTCTTTGTGGGATCCTGCTGTGGCTACCAAGGACAGGTGGGTCCTGTTTGAGTCACTTTGGAAAACACTTGCCAATTGTCAAAACCAGCTGAGAGGAGAGGAACTGCTTCCTTGGGGTAACACAGCTCAGGGCAGGGGAGTTGGTTCACTGAACTTCCAACATGAGAAAATGCTGAATAAGCTCCAGAAAATCCATGGGAAATGGTGGGTGAGGATGGGATTCTCTTTTCCCAAAGCAAATGCTGCACCATTACTCAGAAATAACCACAGCCAGGATAGGGGTGGGTCAGGGCTCCCCCAGTGACTGCTGAGGTTTGGGATTGTTCACTGGAGCTTTCCACAGTGACACAGAACCCCTGGAGCAACTGAATAGTGCTGCAGGAGAGGGAGGGCCCCTCCAAACCATGTTCCTCCCTGCCAGGGATTCCTCTGCCACCAGCTGCTGCTGCTGGAGTCAGTTCATGGGGAAGAGCAAACCAGCAAGGCAGCTTGTTCTGGCTGCAGCCAAAACCTCCCCTCCATGCTGCTGCCCAAACCATTTCTGACAAGCACCTGCAGCCTCCTGCCTTCAAGGGCCCCAAGAGGAACAACAGACAGCTTCCACTTTTATTATTACAGTTTAACACAGTCTTGGACAGAGGAGAAGCAGCAGGAACCAACATGCAAAGCAATTCAAAGACCCCAGGGGCTCCAGGAAAACCACCCACAGCTCAGCTCCTGCTCCCAGCAGTGTCTCTGGGGGCTCTTTCCCTCCAGCTGCTGCTCCAGTCGTGCCCCAGAGCAGGAGGAGGTCATGGCAGACACCAAACCTACACACACAGAGAGGAGAGAACTGGCCTGGGATTGTGTCTCGAGGAGTCAGGTCCATTATCTGACTGGAATCCAGTACACTCCAACCAGGAGGCCACCTTAATCACCACAGAACATCCTGAGCTGGAAGGGAGCCATGGAAATTATCAGTCTAACTCCTGTCATCAAGTCAAATTTTTTAAACGTTGTCTGTGCCAACAGGGAGAAGAGAGATCCTTCAGGAAGAGGTGCTGACTTCCATAGCAAGCCAGGAGATGAAGCCCAGATATTTCACCACAAATTTCTTGTGTCAGAGCTGGCATCTCTTGGAGCCAGCAGCTCTTCTAAATGCCTGTGATGGATGTCGAGGCCAAAGATTCCCACAGCACTGGAGAAATCTTTGCCAACACGTAGAAATGGATGTCCCCAGAAGGAAGAGGTGCATCAGACTTGACTGGCCCTTGCAGACAACACAACAAACACCACCCAGCTGCTGTGCAGAGCCATTATGTCCTCCTGCACCTCTTCCTTGGGCAGGCCTCCGCATCCGAGCCGCACGAGCTGTCCGAGTCGCTCCCCGAGGACGAGGAGGAGGAAGGCTTTGACGTGCTACAGTTCATGCTCAAGACCCAGCCCAGTTTGTTGTGCAGCACCTGTTTCAGTCCTGGGGGCAGGGGCAGCACTTCCAGCGTGTCCACGTAGTCGGGCAGGAGCTGGCGCAGGCGGAAGCAGCACAGGTACTGCAGGGACGTGCAGCTGGCACAGGACCGGATCACCTTCATGCTGCTCTTGGCTGCCGTTGAGCACACCATGGGGTAAAACTTCTTGTTCTGCAGCTTTGTGGCTGCCACCCCTGCCAGGGCATAGCACCAGGGAGGACACGTTAGTTTAGATATAGATCTCCCACCTACCCCAAACCCGCTAACTGCAAAACTCCAAAATCCCAACCTATTAAACAACAAATGCAAGTGATCTCCCACTCACTTCACACCTTGGTCTTCTGCTTTCCCAGTGTTTCCTGCTGCAGCCAGACTCGAGTTCCTCCCACCCCATCCCTGGCTCTCACCTATGCACTTGCGGTTCTTGAAGAACGTGAGTGTCCCGTGCCACGTGTCCAAATGCACACCAATAATGGAGCCTTGGCCAAACCTCGAGGAGAAGTTTGTTTTGTCCCCCTTGTGATGCAGCAGTCCTGAAAATACACCCAAAAAATGGCATTCTGTGGAAAACCTGCACTCCAGGAATTCATCCCAACTCTCATGCTGCTGTTACAGCCTCACTCAGTGCCAAAAACATCCCTGCATTTCTGACCCCTGCCCTCCCATCCCAGAGTGGCTGGTGGACAGGGAAAAGCTCCAGAGCACAGGGAGCAGCACTGAAACTCCAAAGTGGTGACGTGACAGTAGTACCCTGGTGTCCTGGCAGGGTCCCACACCAGATCTAAGTGGACCAGGAGAGATGCTCCAAGGGCTGTGAGCTGCCAGCTCTGGTGTCCCTAATGAAGGGATTCACAGGTCTGGTGGCACCTCTTGTGTCACTGCTGCCCGCCCAGCCACCCTGTGCGTGTTACCTGTGTAAGAGAGTCCCCAGCTGTCCTCGTCCTTGCCCAGCAGGCTGCAGAAGGTGTGACGGTACTTGTCCAGGTTCACATCTGATGTCCCAATCCCCACCATCTGGAAGGCAAAGCAGAGAGTAAGAACACAAGCTCAGTGTCTTTTCAAGCAACAAAACACAACCAAGATTCCACCTCCAGTTCTTACCCCCTCTTCTTGGCTGAGCCCAAAACACCCAGAGGGGTTGGTGAAGCCAAGTTGGAGTTTTCAGGGTGGAGCTGATGGCTCCCAGCTACAATTTCCTTTCCTAAGTGAGGAGGCCCAGCTAAACTGCTGGAGGTCACTGTCCTGTTCACAGGATAACAGAATGGTTTGGATTGGAAGGGACCTCAAATCTCATCCCATTCCACCCCTGCCATGGCAGGGACACCTTCCACTATCCCAGGTTGCTCCAAGCCCCATCCAGCCTGGCCTTGGACACTTCCAGGGATCCAGGGGCAGCCACAGCTTCTCTGGGCACCCTGTGCCAGGGCCTGCCCACCCTCCCAGGGAACAATTCCTTCCCAATATCCCATCCATCCCTGCCCTCTGGCACTGGGAAGCCATTCCCTGTGTCCTGTCCCTCCATCCCTTGTCCCAAGTCCCTCTGCAGCTCTCCTGGAGCCCCTTTAGGCACTGGAAGGGGCTCTGAGGTGTCCCTGGAGCCTTCTCCTCTCCAGGTGAGCACCCCCAGCTCTCCCAGCCTGGCTCCAGAGGGGCTCCAGCCCTTGGGGCACCTCCGTGGCCTCCTCTGGACTCTCTCCAGCAGCTCCACGTCCTGCTGCTGTTGGCCTCAGGGCTGGAGGCAACTCTGCAGGTGGGGTCTCACCTGAGGGGGCAGAATCCCCCCCTCCCCACTCTGGGGGCTCAGCAGACAACTGAGGGCATGGGGGGTGGTTCTGGGTGCTCATGGTCAGGCAGTGTCCAGTTCTCATCCTCCAACACTCCCTGTCCTTCTCCCAGGGCTGCTCTCACTCCAATCTCTGCCCAGCCTGGATTGGTGTTTGGGATTGCCCTGACCCAGGTGCAGCACTGGCACTTGGGCCTTGTTCAACTTTCTTCCCATGGCCCCAGCTCTCCAGCCTGTCCAGGTCTCTCTGGATGTCCCATCCCTCCCCTCCAGGGTGTCACCTCCTGACACAGCTGGGTGTCAGCTCCAGTCTGGACAAGGGTGTCCTGATCCCACTGTCCATGTCCCCAGCAGAGATGTGAAACAATACTGGTCCCAGTGCCAGCCCTTGAGCAGTGTCACTTGTCACTGGTCTCTGCTGACTCCCAACTCTTTGCATGCGACCATCCAGACAATTCCATATCCCCCAAGTGTCAAATCCATATCCCCTCTGTCAAATCCATGTCTCTCCAGGTTAGAGCCATGCAAGACAGGAACAAATGCTTTGCACAAATTCAGGTAGATGAGATCAGTTCCTCTTCCCTCCTCTACCAACACTTAAACCCCCACCACTGAAGGCCACTGAATCCCTTAGAGAAACCATGATGGATGCCATCAATCACAGCCACTTTTTCCATGTGCCTTTGCATAGTTTCCAAAAGGACCTGCTCCACGATTGCCAGGCTGAGATGAGACTGGTCAGCCTGTACTTCCCCAGATCATCCTTATTTCCCTTTCTAAAAATGGAGGTTATGTTTCCTTTTTTCCAGTCACTGGGAACTTCACCAGACTGCCACAGTTTCTCCAATATGACAGATACAGGCTAAACCACTTCATCCAGCAGTTCCCTCAGATCCCAGGGATGCATCTCATCAGCTCCCCATGAACTTGTGCACAGACAGCCTCAAACCTCATCTGCCATGGTGGAACCTCATCCTGCCAGCCCCTGTCCAAAATCCTGGGCATTTCTGTGTGCCCCACACATACCATGTCAGTGCCATACACCGGAGAGGTCATCTTGATCTCCCAGAAGTGCTGTCCGTCTGCCAGCTCCTTGTTGCCGCGGATGGCGGCTGTGCCACAGCTGTACTCCATGTGGAAGTTCACCTTGCGGTTGTCACACGTCAGCAGCGTGGCCGTTGACTTGTTCAGGTCATCCCACACCCAGTCAAAATCTGTTGAGGAAGCACAGAGGGGACAAGGATGGGGCAAAGACTCTAAGGAAATGAGCTCCAAGCCAAAGCACAGGCAGATGTTTGTTTTGAACACCTGTTGGTGGGTTCATTTATATTTCTCTTATTATTTAAGAGGATAAATCTTAAGCTGTGCACATCAGAGAACTGCTTGAGGCCTGAACTACTCTGCAGTGTCCCACCAGGGATGATCAGCACTCCAAAGCTGTCAGCATTCACCAGACCAAATTTTGGCTGACACCGGGCAGAGCCTCCCTTCTCCGCACACTCCTCATGGGAACAAGGGTGGCTCTGCCATGCCACAGGCTCTCCCCCCAGCCCAAACCCACCCTGTGCTCTGAGCCAGGCACCCTGCCAGCCCTGCAGGGATCAGGAGGGCCCTAAGCACTGGCTCTGCTCACTGGGGCCTAAGCCAGATCGGAAAGCAGGTCCCAGGGGTGAGCGCTGACGCCGTACCAGCATCAGCCCTGAGCCTGGAAACACGACAGCAGGCACAGGCTGGTAATCCTCCTACATCCTTGGGATGTAAACAAAGGAATGCTGGGACAGGAACAGGACACTGCAGGGACCCCCCCATCCCGAGCGCCAGGGGAGCCCCTTACACTCATCCTCCTCGCCGCAGCGGCAGTCACGGACGCGGTGCAGGGCGTGCAGGCTGGAGCAGTAGGGAGCTTCACTCTGGTTCTCACAGTTGCAGTAGGACTCTCCAGTCACAGGGATGGCACTCGGGATGGAGGGAGACAGGGAGGAAAACTCCGGCTCTGAATCCGAGTCACTGTGCTGCTGGGGACAACAGGGAATGCTCACTGCTGGGGACAACAGGGAATGCTCACTGCTGGGGGGAACAGGGAATGCTCACTGCTGGGGGGAACAGGGAATGCTCACTGCTGGGCATCCCAGAGCTGGGCTGGAAGATCTCTGTGACTGGGACATCTCCAGGCTCATTTCATGGGCTGTGCCCATGGAATTACCCTGCTTTGGGACATGGATAGTGCCTGCTGAGCTGCAGGG